TCCATAGCAACATTTGTTATCTGGTAACGTCAGAGAAAGCCAGGATTAATAGTAATACCGGTTGATGTTTGTCGTTTCCTGTCGATGGTATACAAAAAAATCTTAAAAATACTTGGTATTATAAATCATTGATATAAATAATATGTAACAAAAAAACGACTGTGGTTAAACTTTAACTTCACAAATCTTTAGGCGCAATCCATTTACATCACTGTATTTCTTAGTCTCAATTTCAATACTTACTGTACATTAAGTCGGTTCACAGTAAAAAAAAGTTGCTTAAATTAAATTGCCTCCACATAGCTCATTTTTTTGTGTGATTATGAAACAGGAATGGCTCAGGCTCGCGTGTGTTGATACAGCTAAGAAATGTAAAGTTAAATGGTTTATTAAAAGCATTGTTTTTGATACGACAGCAAGTCTCCACATTGGAGCTTTGAAAAAATTATTGAACACAAAGCTTATACTTTCGGCAGCTTTCTCATGTTTGTTCGGCTCTACTGATGGTAAAGAAGCTGAAATATTTATAATTATTGAATAGACAATATTTTTACTAAAAGAACCAACTTCTTCGTTATTGTCATTATTACAGGAAAAGTAAAGAATGAATGAAAACCACCTGAAAACCACCTTAAAATTGGACATAAGATCCGGATTTTTTAGAATTTCGTTAAAAATGTTGTTAATGATACTGTCGAACAGGGAATCTTATTTAAAAATTCACTGACCAAGATCGAAGAACAGTATTTTTTGCCTAGTCAGAAATAATCGAGAACATATTTCTTATGTTTATGATTTTAGTGTTTGATATTTTTGATTTTCCTAATTTACGTTTAATTATCGACCTATAATATACATTTTAGATATCATCAATTTATAGTAATCCAAGATATAAACAAATATTTGCAACATAACTCGTCATTATTTTAGAACACACGCTCTAATTAGCCAATAAGTAAGTTTAAACTTCCTGTAAAGATATTTTCACGTCAGATCATGAGTTTCCTCAAATTTTGTGTAAACGATATATAGGCTAGGATAACAAAAAATTTTAGTTTTGAAGGTTTCACGATAATTAATTAGCGAGAAGTTAATTATTGTAATTTTTTATTTTTTAGGATGTGCCATTTTTTTCTTAATTCCTTAAATAACTCCTTACCTGTAAAGGTTATTATAGTAAACATTTATTTCCACAGTAACTTTTTAATTTCACAATTTTTCATTTTATTAATCCGTATGAAGAAATAAATTTCATAAAGTCCCTGTAAATATAAATTGTATCTAATAGATACAATAAATACATATTTTAGTAATGATTAACGAGAAAAGTGTAAACATTTCAATTCAGTAATAATCGTCAAACAAATAAGTAGTCTAAATTTTAACAGAATTTAGCATTTAAAAGCGTTGATTCTTTAAAATTCTTTAAAGTCTTCACTCAATGGTAAAATACCATTATATTATGGATTATATACAATAATATTATGTTGCCATGAATTCGTAGGTATATTTTGTTGTTTAAATGCAGTTGTTGGCGTTTTTTAGAGAATTCAAATATAAAAATGGTTGATTTTAAGGTTATGTTTGTGCAAAAATTATTTTTTACTAATTTCTTAAAAATGTTCAAACTTAAATATAAATTATATAAGGTAAAGTTATCATTAGTTAATTCTGAACCAACAAATGTACTTACCGAATTGGATCCTTTGGCAAAACATGAAAATGCAACGATTTAGTTCTTGAATTTTATTTAAAATTAAAAACACAATAATTCACCATGATCCCTTAAGAATTTAAGCGTTGAGTTTCTTAATCAATGACATAAAGAATAATCAATCGAAATCGAGTACTAAACGCAGTTTTTTTTCCTTTCAACGTAAAACACAAATAACGTGCGCGCTTTAGCTGTGCAATTAAACACAATTTGTCGAGTAATTACTATTACTATTTTAAATAAATAGGTAGTTTTTTTCACAAAAGAAAGGAAATCTTAAGACTATACTCCTGATCAAACCTGTCGAAAAAAATCTAGAATTTTTTTAACAAATGCAATCCTCATGCATAATAATTACATTTTTGAAATCCGCTTAAAAAGGTATTCTTAGAAACTAACTTTCACTTAAATAATTTGTACAAAATAAGATGTTATTTAAGAATTTATGACGCATCTTGCATTATTAAAATAATTAATTTTTCGGTAATTAATTATCGTAGAACCTTTAAAATTGAAATTTTTGGTTATCCTAGCTTATAAATATTCTACACAAAATTAAAAAAAAAACCTTTCTATTATTGTGTTCGATTTGAGGTGGAATGACCCTATACTTTTTGCTGCTCAGTGTACCTAGTAGATATTACCTACCTACTTAACAAAAGCAATATCTAGAAAACCTATGTAATTTAAATTGTTAGTGGTGTTTACGCATTTGCCTTAAAAATTACTTATGTGGATCTGGGAGTTTCGGCAGAAACAAAAACTTATGCAGTTGACTTAAAATTTAGTTAAATTTTCATTATACCCTGAAATCTAGTGTTTTTTTCTAGTTTTGTAAGATTACTTGATTAGGTTAAATAAAACAAGTACTTCAATTTATTTTAAAATCACTTTATTTTTGAAAAGCAATTTAGGTACAAAATTATTTAGAAATAAGAGTGCCGAACACGAACGCTAGTTTCAGCCAGATTTGGCCTGAAACCAAAACTGCAGCTGAAACCAGTATTTTGGGCCGAAACCAAAACTTCGGTCGGTTACTAGTTTGTCAAATGTTTCCCTTGATGAGGTAAACGTTCTCCAATTATTTGATTAAATGTACTAAAATTCCAGCAAAAGAAGTACAGGATCCGGAACCGGTAGAAGAATTACTAGAGTTACGTCCAATAAGATACAAAAACCTTTCCTTAATACTACAATTCTTGGAAAGACCTACCATCATATTCAACACAGAAAGATTAAAATACTTACATGCCTTTTCGGCTATGAGAGCATATTTTTCTAAAATGTCCATTGAATTGTCATATCTGGATGACGAACACAAAACCTTTTTTTACAACGCAATAGAATCCGTAGACAGGGACCAAAAATGGTTTCATGATATTCCTGACAGGCAAATTTACCAGACTTTTGATGATTTGTTTATACCAAGAACTAAAAGGATATTTTCTTCTTCACAACCAGCCTTTAAAAACTTACCTAAATCGGAATTGTTGAAAGATGTGCCAATAGAAGATTCTGAGTTGGTTTATAAAACATATTTTAACAGGAAATTACCTTCAGATAAAGACATTGAAGTCAAAACCAAAGAAGGTAAAAAAAGTAAATCTCCCAAAAAAGATAAGAAAAGCGATTCAAAGGGAAAAAAGAGTAAAAAATCAAAGGAAAAAAGTAAAGAATCGACGAAGACATCTAAAAGTGAAAAGGTAAGACTGTACATTTTAATAATGATTTAAATAAGTTTTAAATTGATATTTAAGATTAAGAAAGACCAAAACAAAATGGAAGAAGTAAAAGAAAACTTTGACCCCTTTGCGGAAACATTCGATATGTCAGATGTGGCTTTTCTAAATAATAAAGATCCTACTAGTACAAAGTCTTTCGAGGAAGAAAGTGGGACTGGTGATGACGTATGATTATACTTTAGTTTTCAAAAAACATGTCCCATCAGCAACATCCCATATATCAGTGGCGGCTGGTGGATTTTGGGCACACCCATATCTCAGTTATTAGACATGGGACCCACATCAAATTTATATGAGTTTATAATGACATTATACAGACAAGTTCTGCGGAAGCAGAATTTAAATTAAAGTTTGCGAAAAAAGTTAGTTTTTAAGTGCAACCCCCAGCCTCCTGTCCCTCCAAATTAAGATAATTCAAATTTAAGTGGTACAATATTTAATTCACTAAAGTTTATCGACAAATTTCAAATTTTATTAAAAAAATTCAAGAATTACAGGTTTTATTATAATACCATTTATAATTTTTCTTTTACTAAATTTAAAAAAATTATAAATGCTATAAAACCTGTAATTCTTGAATTTTTTTAATAAAATTTGAAATTTGTCGATAAACTTCAGTGAATTAAATATTGTATCACTTTAATTTGAATTATCTTAATTTGGAGGGGCAGGAGGCTGGGGGTTGCACTTAAAAACTAACTTTTTTCGCAAACTTTAATTTAAATTCTGCGTGCGCAGAACTTGTCTATATAATGTCATTATAAACTCATATAAATTTGATGTGGGTCCCATGTCTAATAACTGAGATATGGGTGTGCCAAAATCCACCAGCCGCCACTGCCATATATACATTTTTTTTAAATCCTTTTTAACTTTTAAAATACTAATATAATGCAATTTTAGTTTAAAAGAAATAGTTCGCTTTCCTTTCAAGTAGACGATTCACGTCGCAAAACGGACATCTACCATATAATTTATTTTAACTTGGTTGAAGCAATCGGTACTTTAGTTGATACATTGGAGACTTGCAAAGAAACATCTACACCAAGTCGCGTGTTAAAAGATATTTATAACATTTGGGAACCCCATGATAAGACTTGTGTTTTTGAACAAAAGAAAGAACTCGAGGAAGATGTAAATCTTTTATATTTAAATGAAGAATGTGTCAATGAAAATATCGAACAAGAAGACAAAGAAAAAACAATGTTTATCGATAAGCTTTTAGATCAACATTGGAGACAAAATACTCGAACCAAACAGTATTTAATTGAAGGATTAACTAAAGCCACGAAATATGAAGAGACTCCAAAGCATGTCTTCAGTTTTTTACTGACCAAACAAGTTGATTATGTCAAATCTCAAGATAGTTTACAATCCCAAACAGAAGAATTGATAGAACAGGACAATCTCGATACAACTATAGTTGATAAATCAGTAGATATAATGATGGTAGAGGAAAAAATTAGATTGGACGCAAAAGAATATGATTTGCTTGAACCTCCTAAAGGTAGTAGTACTAAATTAACTCCTTCAATAAGTAAATCGTCCGATATCTTTTATTATTTGGATGCCAATGATGTTTGGGAAGAGGATACACAGTATGATAATGTAAAAATAGTGGTGCAAGAAATTAATTATATAGATGATTAGTATTTGTAAATTTTAATTTCATCTCCCTTTTTATCTCAACTACATGTTTTTTGTAAGAAAATAGGCATATTTAATTACATGTACAATTACACATTTTTAATAAAAGTTTGTTAAAAAAATATTGTATATTTATTTACATCAAATTGGGTAAAATTTTACTAATTACACATAGGTTAAAACTAAAAATAGATTGTATTAAAATGCATGTGTATAATATCGGGTATAACAAATCAAACAAATTTATAATATTATTCAGATTTCTTATGTGATCTAGCATAAATTACATCCAATTTTCTATGCTCCGGTGGTGTTTGTATCGGTCTTGTATTTTTTGTTATATTGTGTTGTTCGCATGGAGTAGAGTTTAGACTTCTAAATGCTGATACCTAATTTAAAAAATATTATTAAATTAAATTAAATTTAAAGAAATACAGTTAAGCTCAGTAATAATGTACTAAAGGGGACCTTAATAAACGTAAACACATGTGAAAGGGTAAAGCGAAACTTGAAGTTAACGTGCACGTTAACTTCAAGTTTCGCTTTACCCTTTTGCGCAGTAATCACAATCCCAAAAATAGGCATGTGATACCTCATTTTAAAGGTCTTGTTTCACTGATTATCAGGAAAAAAGACAAATTCTATTGATTCATTTTCAAGATATTTAAAACCAAAGTTGCAACAGCACAGCTCGCTTTCCATTTAAATAAAAAAGTACAGATTTAAGAAAAAATTGTGTAAAAAAACTGTCGAATCATAAAAAAGCCTATTATTCTTTTAGGTAGTTTCATTCAACAATAATTAACAGTATTGCAAAACAATCACCTTTAAACCAACTAAATTATTTTTTGGTCCCTATACACACTCCATGAAAACATTGTCACTTTTTATAATATACAACCTCCAAGTTTGAGATTTGAGAGTTTGTAAAATTTTAGTTCCACTAAAAAATTATGTTAACAGCAAACGGAAAAATATAACTGTATAGGATGACTCCGCGTTTAAATACTAAATCTTAAAGTTTTATCAGAACTGTATTGAATCGTGCTTTGTTTTTATATTTTTCGGCTCTATACAACTATATTTAAAGTCAAACTCAATGGTCTCTTACGAGATACATTATTTTGATTTTCTATATTCAACAGAGAGGTAGAAACTCGACCCTGTCGAATGGTGCAGTCATTTATGTCTCTAGAAATTATTAAAAAAGGGTTAAGTGGTGCAGCAACTTCGGATTCCTATTCTCTTCAGAGACATAGAAACTCAAGCTTTTCGAATTTTACTGGCAATGATTTTCGTTAATGTCCCCGAGAATTATACAAAAACAGCGCAATGCAGTGCAATATCGCAACGGTTTCGACTTCTCTTTTCTCTACCAAGTTATAGAAACTGGAGTCTCTCTAATACTATTCTAGTCAATATTTCTGAGAGTATAAAAAGAGGGTGTAATATTGCAAGAAGTTTTGATCTTTTGATGGATGCAAGTAGTTTGATTATTCTCATTTCTGCATATGATTTTGTTGAAAATAATTCCTTTCTTTGGTTCCTTTGTCCGATTTTTATTTACCGTTACAACTCAGGTATGTAAAGCACAGAGGATATGATGTAAAGTATACTTTACATCATATCCTCTGTGCTTTACATACCTGAGTTGTAACGGTAAATAAAAATATATATATTTATGTATTATATAAAGTACCTATATTTGTATTAAACATTTCAGAGGTTATGTTGAAAAAATGATCGATATGCTATTAAACTTTAATAATTTAGTAATGAAGTCTGTTGGTAGATCCTGCACATATCCACTGGAAGTTTTATGTTAGTTCAGCAATATTTAAATCTGGTTAATCAAAAAGTATACACCAGTGCAGGTTATGGTAGCATCTACGAACAAATGAATTAATGGCCCATTGGCAATTATTCCTTTAGGGAAAATTTTCAACACAGTTTAATTAATTAATAAAATGAAAAAAATCATGTCGTATATAGTTTTTTTTAAGGATAAAATAGTTTTCATTTTAATACTAGTTCAAAAGTGAAATAACGACCTCTATACTGTGGAGAGTATTGAAACGTTCGACTGACGAATACAAATCTATACCGTGGGGAGATTTAGAAAACTATATTCAAACGTGGCGTCATCCTATACACTTCTATAATTTTCTGTTTGCTGTGTTATTGTCTGGCGCCTATTTTTTTTTTAATCATACATACCTACATACTTGGCCTGGTGGGGTGTGGCATAAAAAACCCCGGCCGAAAAACTTAGACAGGCAACCCAATATTTATAAAATTTTCATACAATTTATCCATAAGGCAAGCTATATCCCACAAATTTTTTGGACTAGAAATAGATCAAATGCTGAACTGGAAATCGCACATAGATGTAGTTTGTAAAAAAGTGGCCAGATTGTGTTTCAGTTTAAGACATATAAAAGCTCTTATTTTTTTGTTCGTTTTAAAAACCTTTTACTTTTCCCAAATGTGTTGGGCTTCTGGAGCAGAATGTTCTAGAGTCTTTATTTTACAACTCAAGCCATCAGGGCTATGACAAACATAAACAATAGAAATTCTTGCAGACCTTATTTTAAAGCACTGAAAATTTTACCGTTGCCATTTATATATATATATATAAATTCTCTTATACATACCCAAAAATATTATAAACTTTAAATCCTTAAATGATCAGAAACACTACGAACTGTGCATAATCTAAGTAAATATAAGAAATGTCCAAAATATCAATGTTTATATTAGGGTGCTTCAAAAAATAAAATGTAATTTTTTTTTCGCCCTTACCCTCTTAAATGTTTCCATATAAAATATAAAATAAATCCTCACCAAATATGGGCGTTCCAGCTCAACTCTAAGAGGTCGCTATTTTTATTTTAGTTTCCCATTTAATTAACATGGGAAAAAATAATTTTATGTTTGAAATTTTATACCTTTTTATTAAAGTAACTTATGGCAATGATCATTGCAGTTTCTTATATAACGCTCTACAAAAAGGCCTCTTATTATTTTTCGATAAAATGATTTCTTCTAGAGTTATTCGAGGTCAAAGTTTGATTAACATCAAATTTTCTGTTTTTCTGTTTTTTTTAATTTAATTATATTAGTAGACGGGAGGTGAAAGGGGACAAAACAATGCAGCGGAGGGTCAAAATGGGGTACCCACAAAATTTCGTAATACATTTTTTTTTAGATTGTTTTTTTTTGGTTTCTAAATTATTTGAAAATTGACTCACAAGTTCACGCTTTTAATCGAAAATAATTATTCTAAGCCTGTAGAGCGAGAAAAAGGATGGTACAATTTTGGAAAACTTTTCATATGCTCATTTTTTGGGTACCCCATTTTGCCCCCTCCCGCTGCCTTGTTTTGCCCCCTTTCACCTCCTGTCTGCTACCATAAAATTAAAATGATGATGTTATCAAATGCAGTTTGTAGTGATTTTTTACACTTTTCAAAGCTTTCAAACATACGAATTTTTGAATTAAAAAAAATAATCCTGGTATAGATTCTTTGGGAAATTTTATGCTCTACAAGAATCCGCGACGTAAAAAATTTTATCTCAAACGGTTCAAAAGTTATAGTCTTTTTAATGAAAAAAGATTTTTTTACGTGTTATTTCAATGGAAAACTTAGAATGCTCACCGACACCTTTTAAAATTGAGCAAAAAATTTTGCCTTGCAGGGAAATTTTTTGCTCGGTATGTAGGTTCATTTTAACCCATAAATCCGATAGGTTAGTTTTTTTGGCTCACCCTAATATATATATATATATATATATATATATATATATATATATATAAAATAGTATATACTTGTCCTATGTCCTGTAAATGTGAAAAATGTGGATTAATAAAGTATTATTATTATTATTATATTTCAATGTATGATTTGGTTGCTACTCAAATTTGCGGATTGGAAATATGCTGTTAAGTTAAGGAATTGTCAGGATCGAGTCCGGTTGGAGAACATGACGGCCCCTTGAATTAAAATTGCTCATTTACAGTTTGGAGGATGTTTTCTTTAATTTTTAAAAGCCAATTCATTTTTCCAAATCATATTCATATAGAGACTTTTTACACAAACTTGGTGGTTTGTTAATTTGACTAAGAAATTTGGGCGCCCAAATTTCTTCTCGTCAAATGAATACGTCAAACCACCAAGTTATCGTAAAAAGTCAAAATATATCCGGCTAAATCGAACCTCTAGTGGTATTACATTTAAATATTTAAATATAAAAATTCCAGCCTAGATGTGGGGTACGTTATTGAAAAAGTGAGATTTACGCAGCAGAGCCGGCGTTTATACAAGAGTTGCGACAAGGTATCGTGGATGAATGCCGAAAAAATGTTACAAGGCGTTTTAAACAATATCCATATCTGTACCTTTTTATTTAAATAAGAATCGAAATAGAATAAGAATCAGAAAATAAGATGAAATCAGCGTTAAACTGACAGATAAAATGTCAAAGTTCACCTTTGGGTGTGGAGCATATAATATATTAATATAATAGTACGTAACCAAAATCGGTTAATGTTTTCGTTTTTTTACTCTTTGGTGAACTTGTTTTAAATTTCATCTCGTCAATTTTTTTTTGCGCTGGGCGTTATCTTGTTATACAAAAATATATGGGTATATTAGGTATACTAGGTGTATGGCTAAATAATTAAAACAAATATGTGTTTATCGATTCCTTGTTAATTAATCATATATTATATCACGAGAACTATGAATTTAATCGGTTAAACTAGGCTCAGTAGTTTTTTGTTTGGTTTTTCTTGGAAAATGTTGAATGCAAAATAATTTAATAAAATCACGAGACCGCGTAGCGGTCAAGCGGTTTTATTTTTAATTATTTTGCATGAAACTATTTTCCAAAAAGAAAAATCAAATAGTGATTTAATCGCTTATTTAAACGAAATTTATTCGAAAATTCAAGGCTTTTGATTGGTTCATATTATAATGAGGAAAATAATCACTCATAACCATTTTTTTGAGCGAGACAACATTTATTAGTCCCTTAGTACATTTTCATGTAAAACTAATAAAATAATATTAACTTGATGGTATACAATTTTATTTTGCTTTCATTTAACTTACGTCAAACTAAATACATCAAAATTAAAGCTGATCAAAAACAATTAGCAATAATCTAATTATAAAAACACTGATACAATGTTCAAACCACGATACACAAACAACGGTATGCTATCGTGTTTGTGTATCATGGTTACAACCACGTTATCAACGTGTTTAAAATTGCTGACTTATAAAGATTACGTTTGCCGCTGTAACTATTTATTAGAAAACATGTTGTCGAATTGTCGCTACTCAAAAAACCCGCAAATATTTAAATTTAATTGTGTGTTTTTCATTAGTAAAAATTATCACGTGTAAACATTTTACCTGTTTCCTATTGACATGGATCGGGGTTGGATATAATATCCATGTCACACTCTCAAAGTATGGTTCTGTGGTAAGAGATCCCTGATAAGTGTAATACCCTTTACATTGTGCTTCCTCCTTTATCCAAGTTAAACAATCTAAAATACATATCATCAGTCATTTCCAGGGTCGAATATGCGATGAGCATGAGCATATTATTTTATTAACATGCTGACTTTTTCGAAAATTAATAAAATGTCAAGGAACAGGTACCTTATAGTAATTGCATAATTTAAAAAAATAAAAATCCCAGAGGCATTGATATTTGTTCGATTGCTCATAAAATTTAGGGACACGAATTCGCGATAAAATTAATTTGTCTAATGATCAAATGACATAGCTAGAGCATTTTTCTTCCGGGGCAAAGCATAATTAAAAATATATATATATTTTCCGTCAAATTAATAACTTTTTAAAATCGTTAAACTTTCTGTTCAATTTAAAATTGAAATCACTTAAAAATGCAAATTTATTCAAGTCACTGCAAATGGTCCATTAATTGTTTGAAATTAACACAAGATCTTTTAATCATTCCCGATTTTCCATCAAATAGGTCTTATAAATCTTCCAAAAAAAATTAGTAAACTCTTTCGTCAACTCTCGTATATTCAAATCAATTAGCTGTTAGCCAGCATTAGCTGCAGCTGCAGTCGGCATAAGTCGGCAGCTTTAAAAAATGCCGACTAGTGAATTCACAGAAAAAAGAGGATCCGAATTTACTTTCCTACCCATCTATATCAATCTTTAACTAAATAATTTTTGTAAAATGACTTTAAACCACCAAAATTTCGTGGAATATATTATCTAAAATTGCCACCTCTGGCTTGTGCAACCCCCCCTCGCTACGTCCCTGGTCATTCCAAATAAAATCATAGAAAAAAGAAAACAATTTTTGCTAAACTAATTTAGATTTTGTGGAAATGTTTTTTAGGGTCGCAGGGTGATTTAATTTTAGTGCCAGTATCGGTCCGTACAAAATAAAGCATTTAAAAAGTTTTATTTTTGTTCTTAGTTATAACTAAGGGGGTTTCTATTAAGGGCCTCGCATTTTAAATTAACATTTCTTTTAGGTGGGAGCCTTGCTGAGTTTAATATTTTGACATTTGTACATGTCGGTGTCTACCATTTCATAATGAAACACTGTTTCAGAAACAGTATACCTAAGCTTCAACAAAGTTTACAAATTATTTAATTTTTTGTGTTCGATTTTGATTGCAATAATTTAACGTCTAGTCTAATTTTCAGTGGTTACAATTAGATAAAAAATTGAAAGTCTGGTGTAATAATTGGAGACTACAGACGAATAAATGCATGAAGTGCCGAGAATATTGCCACAATAGCCCGGTAACGGGAATAAACGGGTAAAGGTGGGAAAGACTAAGCAACCACTGTTGATCCATGATACAACATGTTGTATCATGCTGTTGATCGATAGTGTTTCTTCTTCCACCTTAAGATAGGATGGTGCGCATATTGGGCGGGGCTTAAATACGTCACTTGATGAGTGTTTTTAAATCTTTACGTGCTTTTCAATTATCTACTGCTAAAATTCTTGTTTTTGCGATGCTGTTAGATGTTAACTTGCTCTATTTTTTGTTTAACTTGTTGTTTTTGCGTTCGGTAAGGTTCGAATTACTTTTTAGTGTTCAAATTATCGTTATTGCGTTGTGTTAACCTGTTCTGTTTGTTTATTATTTGTTTTTGTGTTGCGTTAACTTGTTTTGTTTGTGTTTTAGTTTGTGTCGTGCCATTTGCATTTATTAAAATGCGGTGTGGCATATTTGGATGCAATTCGGACAACCAGTCCAAGAAAAACTCTTTAAATAAAAACATTAAATTTAATCGATTCTTTGATTTGTGCAAACAGTGTTTAAATGCCACAAAATGAATAGACAATATTAACGTTAAGACCGCTTCTGTTTCCTATAAACATTTTCTGGACAGTGACTATAAGTTTAATTTAAAACACCAACGCTTAAACTACAGCCCTAAATGTTATCAAGGACTGAAAGCATATATTATCCATATTATAACACTTTCTTCAATATTAAGTTTAATAAAAACGCACTATGTCCAGATATTTCTCTATTTTCTTTGATAATATTACTATTATTCGTGTATTCGCACGGCAACTACTCATCAAGTGACGTCATGCGCGGCACGAACCAAAACTCGTACACGGGAGCATCCACCTTAACCGTTTAGGTTATGTTCCCGTTCTCCTTACCGGGCTGTTGTGCAGCGGGCTTGAGTATATACCGAAATTTGTCGATTTCGGGTCATAGAAATTGAACATGTCTGCAAGCAATTTAAAGCTATCTTTGGGATAAATTAGAAGAAGATAACTTAAAAGAAAAAGATAATATGTGGTTTTAGCAAGACAGGGCTACATGCCACACAGCTGGTCTTACAATCGTTAATTGAAGTCGAAGTTCGGCGGCCTCGTGCTTGCGATTTAACGCACTTTTTAGAAACTGACAAGTACGAATGTCAAAACCTGACCATTTTTTAGCTAATATCTCGCCCCCCGTATATTGCACAATAAAAGTAAAAGAGCAAACATTTTTTTTATGAATTCCAACAATTTATGTTTTAATTATTTTTGTTTAAACAAATGAAAAAAATATAGTTAGGTACCTAGTTAAAATGAAAAATTTATTTTTATGTTTTGTTTTCTTTACTTTTTTGCAAATATTTTCAAACTTTTAACTTTTTAAACTTTTTAACTTTTTGTACCTCTTATAAACCGGCCATGCGAAAGCCGCACGTTGTAACGTGTTGTGCCGCATTGATTCGTACACCAACACGAAATGATATCGACTTTTAATGATAGGACCGTCCCTTCTGAGGTCGCCACAAGTTTTTAGCATTACTCTATCCCCAGCTATGCCTGAATATGATAAAATGTTCGAAAAGAATAATGTTCAGCCGGTGATTGCGTAAGTGGCAAATTAGCGAGATTGGATTAAATTTGCCATTTGTGCAAGAGAACCGCTTTAGCCGAAAATGATCTAGCGGTTTTAATGCTTTCTCCTCCATATAGGGCTATGAAAATGTTTTTCCCATTAGGGAATGAAACCTTGAAACCGCTGCCCATCAAGCAGCTGTCGCACCAAGCTCTATTTTTTAGAAAATTAATAGGGGTATAAAATGTTTATTGTAATAATTTACGGTAAAATGCAAAGTTTGCGAAATAATGGCACCAAAATTTTTAATTTAACAAACAATATTTTTTTTATTTATTTGTATAAACAAATTACACTTAAGACAAAAACATTAGGAAATTTTATACTTAAAAAATAATTTGTGAAAGAAAATTGTCAGGTGGTGTAAATTTGGTTTTAAGCTATTCAAATAAGCCCCTATCACGCAAGATCAAACGACTGGACTACACCTAAAAGAAATGTTTTCTTAGAGAATCTACCATATTTTACCTTTAAAATGCCATTTTATACAAGTAGATATCTTTAATAGAAAAATGTACAGCTAAAAAAGTAAATATAAAAACAATTTCCGTCATTGGGATCTCAAAGAACATTCCCACAAAAATTTCATATGGATGGCTCATAATAATTATTGTCAATAATTTTATTAAAATTATTTTAATGATAAAAACAGTATGGGTTTTAGACCTGACGGCACTTTTGTTGTTGTGTTAATCTTGACAATTTCCTGCACGGCAGTAGCTAATTTGTTAAAGCATGGATGTTCGTCATCATCTGTCGCCTTCAGAAAAAAGGCCACCACAGCTAAACCATCATGCTTCTCCTTGGCATCGTTGAAACTTCCATATTTCTTATTAAAATGTACTGCATGGGCTTCCATCGAGAATCTAAGATTTCAAAGAAAAAACAAACTTTTTATAATGTTTTCACCACATATAACAAATCAATTTGTGGTAGCATTTATGGGAATCTTTTTTCCATTTCTTAGCAAAACATTATACCACAGAAATTGTTAAACCAATCAATTTTAAATATTATTCTAGGAAGACATATAATATGTTTTAAAGGTGATATGCTGTTAATAAAAACAATATGATATCGGAGGCATTGCCAAGGTTATTTAATTTAAATTTAAAATACGCTAAATATACTTAAGTTTACAGTTTTAATAGGCAATAAACTTGTATAACTTTTTCAAACAAACTGTTTACACAGAATATTGGTTTTCAAATTAAATTAGTAAGCAATTACTCGCTTTTGCAAAATGTTTTTTCTTAAAAATTAAAAATTGTTTTACCCAGTATATACTTACACAATGTTATGTTGGTAAACATTTGTTTTATGAGTTTGTCTACATTAGAAAAAATAAGATATACCTTTTTATTTTAATCCATAGTTAAAGTGCACAGAAAAAACGCTAGCATAGCATGAATGGGTGAGCCATTAAACCAATGGGATCTTGTAATCCGTATTCCTGAATAACAGTTCCTATAATACCAATAGGTAGTTAGCACTTGGTTTATAATCGTTTACTGTTTTTAAATTAACAACAAAAGTTATCGCTCCTAAATCTATTGATATTCATATTTATATTTATTTGTTAGAATGGTAGAATGTTATTGCATTAAATACTAATTTGATTTATTTAATAACGTTACTATTGTATGTATACTATGTATACATTTAACCCAATAAATTCTTTGACATTTAGGCAAAATATTTCCCTACTTTGGTTTAATAGTAATTAATTGAGCAAATAACAACTTAGATTGCTTTAATTTTAATGCATTCAATGACAGCGCTGTTCTTGGTACTATGTTAGATTTTTTTCTGTGTGCCAATTATTATAATTGAATAAATAATAAATCAAAACTTTGATAGGGATTGTAAATTATACAAAAATATTTTGTTGGGTCAATATTTTTTGAAGCGTAGAAAGAGTAGAGTAGATTGCGGAAGTTTCACACCCTTAACAAGGATCAGGTATAAAATAAAAATAGTTATAATTTTTTAGTTAAATCAAGGTATTTTTTATGATGATAAGAACAGTTTATACGTTATAGAATATTAGTTTTTAATATTTTTTTAATATTACATTCCAAAGTACAGTGGCGGAACTTCCGTACAGTAAAAGGAAGGCCCCAAGGGAGAGGGTTAATTTTAATTAATTTTGGCAAAGATAATAAAATGACACGAAACTTTCAATAAGTAGAGGTTATTAATCTATGGGGAGTAGTACATTACATATGAGTACATTAGATGCAAAACTCGGTTTTTGCAAATTTTAAAAAAATATATATTTTATCCTATTTATGTACATTACTGCACTGCCTACAGCATAACTAAGTAAACCAGATGCATAAGTTAATATTTGTAGAATAAAATACATTTAAGAACATAACGCAGATGCAAAACTGGGTGTTTGTTTCTTCCTGTCGGATGCAAACTCGGTATTTGCTATTGACCGATCACGTCGCTATAGTATACGCATTTCGTGACGACATAACAATCACCTGATTAATTGTTATTTTTTGGTATTTGCACTTTGCAAAACTTGGTCTTTGAACGAGGAAGATGCAAAACTATGTTTTTAAATCAATTGATTTCAATTATTTACTAAACTAACTAATTTTATAGGATTTGTTTTTACTTTTTTGAATAAAAATGATGCACCGCTATTCAATTTTTTTCTTAAAATCACTTATCCTGCAAATACAGAGTTGTGCATCTAATGTACTCATAAATGACCGAATGCATTTTTTAAAACGCAATATGCTTGAATGCAAAATTATCTGATTATTTTTATGCACGAGTGTAATTTGTTTAGATAATTAAACGAATAAACTATAGTTTATTTTTCACATTTTTATTAATTGAATCAAATGATTCTTTACCAAAACGTGACATTTTAAATAACCGTCACATTAAAATAAAAACTGACGTTATTTTTATTAATTGCCATGGATACGTATATACAATGGAATTATCGATTCCTAGTAGATAATTATCGCAATAATTGTCTTGTAGGCATATCTGTGGGTAAAAGGCATAAGGGGATAAGTCAAAAAAAGCAATTTTTCAGTAGAACCTTAAACGTATTCGCATTAATTCAGGAAACATATTTATGGTTAGCTGGTATACCCTTTTTTTAGCCCATGTCATATGCTAACAAAAGCGTATACCCGCGAAACATAAATATATTTCCTGAATTAATGCGAACACGTTAAAGGCTCTATTGAAAAATTGCTTTTTTTGACTTATCCCCTTATGCCTTTTACCCATAGATATATTAGAGGGTAATTATCTGTAAAATCAACTTATTTTATATCTAAATAAATTTAATAATTTAGACCTAGTAAATTTACAATTAAAAGAACGATTTTCTTTATATTTATAATCAGGCCAATTTACTAAGATGAGTCCCTAGAATTAATCGTTATCGTTAAATTTAATCGGCCTGACTGGCGATAACCACTGATTCTATTGGATAACGTTTACAACTCATGTTAGTGAATTGGCCTAAATATTCCTTAAAATATTGTTAAGCAATTAAATATGTTGGGATCTTAAAAAAACTAATAATTATTGATTAATTTAAAAAATAATGAGTTTATAATTATTATAATAAAAAACTTAATTATTATTCTGGAGATAATTATTTAAATTATTAGTTTTTAGAATGAATAAATGCATACAGATAATTAATTATACCTTTTTTTTATAAATAAAATTACCTCCTCAATCACAAGTGTTGTGGTTTTTTTCAAAAAAACAATATTTTGCAAGCAGGATATATCATTTTATCTTTAAGCTAACTACATATAAATAAAACTTTATTTTCATCAATTGATTAATCAATAATTAATCACTTCAGTGTCTGGTCTTAAGTGATTAATTATTGCATAGGCACATAAATATCAACTGTAAACAGATAAAAACTTTTATAAGGCTAGTTATTAGTTGTAAAGCGTCAGTGATTGGCCGATTTCATTATTCACTGTGATTTGGACCAATCGGGTTTTAAGTTGGGAAAAAATGTCTTGATTTGTCAGACAGTTCTAACCTCACTTTCAACTTTTAACAATTGTACGTTTTATGACATAATACATTGTATTGTTTAACAATTACAATTGAAGGGGTAAGTAACAAGAGGGTACAAGTGCATTTTAGCATAAAAATAATTTAAGTGCAGAATTGGGTAGTTTAGACATACCTAAATATCTATTTTAATATTGTACGGCGGTGTATAATAATTTGACTTTTAAACTGCTTACAAATATGAAGTCTTTTTATGCAGGCTTATGAGTTTAAAAATAATTATAAAAATTATTATACGCGTAAAAAATGTATTATTATTTTTTTAAAGATAAATATCGACGCCTTTAACGTATCTTGCGTTCCGTGAATTTTACAAAAAGTGAAAAAAACTGATGATCATAATTTTTAGTGGAGTACTATAAAATTATAGTATATCTGTAAAAAAAATCTATAAAATGTCACCTACTGCGTTGAAGCCGTAGATATTCCAATATTTTTCCTTATCAAACTAAAACTACTTAAAGTTTACGTACGCTTGTCCTTTAAAAATATGCTCGCATCCGCTATGATCATCATTACTCCAGTGAAAATGAAGCTGTTCAAATATAAACTGGTCTTCGTGAAGAGGCCCTCCTACTAACACCGGTAATTCCCGGTTTTCGAACCGTAACGTAGCTAAAAATAATTTAAGTAAAAAAGTTGTTTGAACACTTACATGATTCATAGTTTATCTTGATAAACTTAAATGAGATAAATGTTGGATTTCCTTTTGACGCATTTTAGTTTACAATGTTACAGTCAATAGTTATCGGTTATGATGACTAAAGGTTGAAAAAAAAATTGGATGCCTTATTAAAAAATATTAGTTTTTTATAAAGTTATATTATGAATGTGAAGAAACATAGTTTTCTAGCGTGTGAAAAAAGTCCCACTTTTCTCACACATTTTTCGTATTCTTATTGGAAATTAATGAATAAAATAATAACATAGATCATTATTGTCGCCCTTTGTATATACTACCATAAAATCTGACATCTGTGAGAGTAGTTTTAAACTAGTACTATTCTTTACGATTTCCTCGTGATACGCATATTGCCGTGGTGTTTTATAAAGAAAAATAAGGTACGCCACTTTAATTTACAAAAATTCCTTGTATCTTTTTCAGACTAAACCTTTTGTAAATACCTGTTTTATCACAGCCAACACAGGTAGAAGAATGTACAGGAATATAATTATAAAATAATTAAATAATAAATAAAAATAATTAAATTACAAAATAAGAGTGGAATAAGTATTACCAAATAAAACAATAGCTAAAATTTCGTTTTTAATTTTTTAGTGTTCGAACTTTATTAAAATAATTTAAAATATTTTTTCTACTCCCACCTTTAAAACGCCCATTATAGTATAGTGACTTTACGGCGTTTTAGTCACGGGTGTTTAGTCACGGGTTGAAGTTAGCTTTAAGTTAGTTAACAGTTGTCAAATGTCATACAATCGTTAAAATAAAGTGCGCTTCTTCTAAAATAATACTAAATGTGAAAATTATTTTATTATCTGAATACAAAAATACAAAAGCATTAAATAGTTTCTCGTTTTCTAGACACTCATTAATTTAAGCACTCGCTCGCAAGCTCGCTCGCTCGTAAATTAAATTCGTGTCTAAAATGGCGTTTATCAAACTTTATACATAATATACTCTTATCTACTCCTACTTTATGACGTTTTAGTCACGGGCTTTTGAGGATATAAGAACAAGAAATAAGATAAAAAGTTAAAACTGTGTAAAGTAATGGTTGCGTTCATGTTTATGAAAATAAGAAATAAGACTAAAGATAAATTTATTTATAACTTTTAACTTTGGTTCTTATATTTGCGTATAAAACTGCGCAAAAGGACAAAATAGGTCTAAGAATTGGTTTGATAGGTTTTATGTGTTGGCCATGGAGCCATGGTGTTGGCGATCGCGTTGTTATTCTTATTTCATATTCCTTATTCCTTATTGATTATTCCTTATTTCTTATTTCTTATTTCCTATTTCTTATTCCTTATTCCTTATTCAATATAAACAATAAAAGTCTTTGACTTTTCAAGTTAAATTTGCCTACTTATCTATGAGTCAAACCACGTCAAGTGGGACCAGAAAATTTCACGAAATCACCGATTTTGAAAATAATCACATTATTGTGTAGTAGGCATGACTCATATGTCACAGTAAAAAAATTGTTTTAAAATTTTTTTTTTTGGTAATGTTATTAAGGTTGACAATTTTGTCAAATTTTAGAGCACGGTAAAATTGAAAAAATAGAATCTCTGGGACCACTCTGTATAATTGAATTAAATTTTACACACTATTTTAGAAATGTTTAGAGTATATAATGATCATTTAATTAAGGTTAATTTGTTTAAATAAAAGAATTTTGCATACATTTATTATAAACAATTGAAATTTTGTATGTGTTCTTCACGCTGAAAAAAAATTAATCTTGTGTCATAATATGCGGCAAACGTTTCCGTTTAATAAGATGTACTCAAAAATTTGCCTTTCATATGTCATTCCGGAGATATTAATTTTTTTGTCCGGCTGTGCGCTTGATCAGTACGCGGCGCGCTTCGCTGCTAGCTCGTCCGTTCGAACGGTTTAACGGTGTGCCTGAACGAAGTTTAAGTCACATAAAAATGCCGCCAAAAACTGATTGTAGTTTCTTGTTCGGGACCCTTTGGTGACTTAAAAATGATATTTACCAAAGTTCTAGATGCTCCTCTTTTCGAAATTGTTCGAAAATTCATGATTTTTTTTTAAATTTTTGTTTATCTCTTTGACAGAGTACACATTTGCACACGGATTTTTATAAAATTGGAGTATATTATTTAGGAGACTTAGAGAATATTTTTTAATACTGTTCACATCATTTGATATATAATAATAATAATAATAATAATAATAATAATAATAATAATAATAATCTTTATTGCCCAACAGGATTCTCCCAATTACAGGACAATGGTATAAATATATATAGGTAACAAATATATCAAATATATATAATAACACATATTTAAAACAAATATATCGAACATACAATACAAAAACTTAAGAAATAAAATAATAAAAAAAACAATATCCTTATTATTTAATATATCAACTAATAACTCATTTCCATTTTTGCACATGGTTGTTTTTGGTGCTTTTGATAAAATATTTGTTCTGGCAGTGCACTGCCATGGGAATTTGAAAGGAGACAGAAGTTCTTAAGTTGTTCCTCGGAACATGAAACTGAATCTTCGATAGTAAGTATTCGCAGTCAACTGTACCCCTTACCAATTTCGTTAAAAAACGTGCACTTTGCAAATCTCGCCTTGTGTCCAAGTGCATTATTTTGTATTCATTCATAATACTGTCCAGGTTAGCATTTTGTTCTGGGTACGTTCCATAAATTAAGAGATATTAAGATTAAGAGATGTATTTTAAGAATCTTCTTTGAACTATATAAATATTTATGCGATGGCATATATACAGGGTTAGCCAAAAATCACTTATTTTTAATAATGCAAAAGCGTAAATTCATGATTTTAGCATAACACGCGAAAAATATTTATTCCCAATTTTTTTTTAGATATTTCTAGGTCTATCAGGTTACAAAATGGCATTATTATTAACCTTTTACAAGAAAAATAGATTTGTAATAACATTTAATAATATAACGCTTAGAGAGTATTTAAAATGTTGTTTAATTTAGGCTTTTTAGTAGTTTTCAATTTTGAACGAAAAATTGGTTGAAGTTAAAAAATATATTTACCAAAATTCTAACTGTTTTTTTTAATTTGTAAAAAATTCAATTTTTTTAAAATTATTTGTTTATAGCAAAGTCTACCTTTGCCAGAGTACACATTTGTACACCGATATTGTAAACGAGAGAAACTGTTTTTATATATATGCTTAGATTTATACAGGGTTAGACAAAAATCACTTTTTTATATAGTAAAAAGCATAATGCAGAAAAAATATTTTAAAAAAATTTCGAAAAGAGGAGCGGCTAGGATTTTGGTAAATATCATGTTTAAGTCACCAAAGGGTCCCGAACAAGAAACTGCGGAATTTTTATGTGACTTAAGTCAGGCACACCGTGTGCTGACGAGCTAGCAGCGAAGCGCGCCGCGTAGGTACTGATCAAGCGCACAGCGGGACAAAAAAATTAATATCTCCGGAATGACATATGAAAGGCAAATTTTTGAGTACATCTTATTAAACGGAAACGTTTGCCGCATATTATGACACAAGATTAATTTTTTTTCAGCGTGAAGAACACATACAAAATTTCAATTGTTTATAATAAATGTATGCAAAATTCTTTTATTTAAACAAATTAACCTTAATTAAATGATCATTATATAGTCTAAACATTTCTACAATAGTGTGTAAAATTTAATTCAATTATACAGAGTGGTTCCAGAGATTCTATTTTTTCAATTTTACCGTGCTCTAAAGTTTGAAAAAATTGTCAACCTTAATAACATTACCAAAAAAACGAATTTTAAAACAATTTTTTTACTGTGACATATGAGTCATGCCTACTACACAATAATGTGATTATTTTCAAAATCCGTGATTTCGTGAAATTTTCTGGTCCCACTTGACGTGGTTTGACTCCTATATCTTATTATGTATTTACAAACTTAGATACAGTAATTCCTTAATTGTAAAACTCGTTAAATTACCTGTAAAACCATTGTTAGTAAATGTAGCTTCACCACCTTCATCCCAATGACCGTGAAACTCCAAGGGTTCAAAATGATCGTGATGAATCGTATCATCATGGTTTAATTCAATTGGAGATTGAAACTTCTCCAATCTCCACTTGTCTATAACCATTGGTGCCTCTTCATCCCCTTCTGAAAAAAAAACAGAATCTTGATAATTCTAGAATAAATAATAAATAAGTGAAATTGTTTATAATTTTTAATTCTAAAAAAATTTATTATCTAATGTGCGTACGAAGGTAATACATCCATTTAATTATAACAATAGGCTATAAAAGTACATGTAATTAAAATTGTTTTTTCCCAGCCGTTTATAAATCATAATAAAGGTTTTAGCAATTTTAACATATCTCCTTATATGTATAGGTACTTGCTGTATTTTATATAATCTTTTAATCAGCAAGTTTGCTATTAATCATATCAGAAATTTGAACAATGTATTATTTACAAGCAAATGATAAACCCGCTAATAAAAAGAAAATTCAAATAACTACTTATACGTGATAGCGGCTGATAGAATGTCAAAATAATTAATATGGTTTTTATAAATATTAAATATGAATTTTATAGATTAATTAAGATACAAATTTATAAATATTAATACCTATTATAATAAGTGGCGTAAGTTACCGATATAAAGCCAATTCAAAGTAATAAGTTGCTGACGATACAAACTTACTTGTTAGGTTAAATAAGGCAAAGCATAAATTTCGTATATTAGTATACGAAATATATGCTCTATTATAGAACTGTTTACTGGGGTTGTTGAGAGCCCAATGCGTTTATTTAAAGGGTTTAAAATCAAGGTTTGAAAGTATAAATACGATAAAAGTGCGTACGAAATATAAAGTTTACATTTATAAAAAATAAAATTTGAATGCGCCTACATGTTGAACAACTTTATAAAACGTTTTAGGTCCTCCTTATTATTATTTATTATTATTTCAACTTTGTTGTATTGTTATTATATTGTACATACGAGGTGTGTTCAGAAAATATCGGGAATTTTCGTTTATAGTCCCCATTGGATATTATGCACATGTGCCAGCTCTTCTTCCAATATATACTCGAAACACTTCTAAAACTCGATCTTTGGAATAGCCTTTAGTTCTTTCAGCGCTTTTAATGTCATCTATGCTTGCAAAACGACGGCCCTTTAAGATTCTCTTTATTTTTGGGAATAGGAAAAAGTCAGACCGAGGCATGTCTGGTGAATATGGAGGCTGGGGCATCATTACAGTATTGTTTTTCATACCCAAAACATTCGAAAAAATTTCATGGGATAAGCCAATCGATATACCAACATCATCAGCAACTTTTCTGATGGTTTATAACCATTTCTTCCACTTTTTCCATGTTTTTATCGGTTGTTAATGTGCTTGTGCGTTCGGAGCGTTCGTAATCTTCAACGTCTTCACGGCCATCTTGGAAACTCTTATACCACTTGTAAACTCTTGTTTTACTTATAGCAGACTCACTTTAGGCCTTTGATATCATTTCACAGAATTTATTTCATTTTTTAAGTAAAATTGGATACAAATTCTTTGATCCATTTCTTTTAACGCTTTTAACGAACGAAAAATCGCCGAGCTCATAAAACACGTCTAACCTTAGCGGCTGCCACAGACAAAGTAAACAATGAAAACAGCTATAGTTTTTATAATACTTCGGGGACATGTATAACAACATAATAAAGAAAATTTTATGACAACCGGACCCTCCGAACCCGTGAAATTTAACAATTCCTGTTATTTTCTGAACACACCTCGTATGTGGATTTTTAAATCTTAAAAACATTGTAGTTTGCAAATTGCTAATCCTTGTTGAGATGTGGCATCATTTTATGGGGCCAAAGTGCTAATATTGGAGATACTCCAAAACTCGTATTTATAAAACAAATAAAGTATCATTTATGCTTTCGAACTTGTTACATAATTAATTTTTCACCCTCATCATACAGTATTGTGCGAATTAATGTTTAACACAAATAGATTTCTGTTAAATATTATTTATTGAAAAAAAATACAAACAGTACTAGTTTATAAATATTTTAGTAGGATTTATTAAGGAATATGCCCCCTTTCTTTATTAAAGCTTTAATTCATTTTGGCATAGAATTAATCAATGTTTTCCAATTTTCCTTTATTTTGTCATCTTAAAACCATACCTGAATGACAGCCTCAATTAAATTAGTTTTTGTTGTAGAATTCATTATTAGCAACCTGTCCTTGTATATAACCCACAAATTCTCAATAGGATTAATGTCCAGTGAGTTTACAGGCCAGTCTAGAAGGGTTACCTTTTTACCCTAGTGTAAATTAGTCGCAATAACCGACAAAATCACTGACATTAGCAATTACTTAATGCTGACTGATAGGTTATGGGATGTCAAGAAAAATCTGTCAAAATTGTCAGTGTTCGAAGTTAAAATAATATAGAAATTCCTAATGTTCACATTATTTCGCACAATACTGTAGGTTGTCAATATGTGAAAGAGATCTCTTGTTTGGTTTGTTTTTATGACAACTGCTATTTAATGTGGATTATAGCTAAACCCCAGATTGACAACCTTTCTAGTACGTTAATGCCAGTGCTGCCACCTCTACCGATTTCTCGGTAGATCTACCGATTTTGGAATAGATCTACCGATCTACCTATTCTAATTCAAAACATCCCGAAGTTTTTAAACATGGATATTTTTGAAAAACAATAATTCGATTTGGTTTAAAATGTTATTAAGTTTGCTTAAAACGTCTCCATTCCCATTCCATTTCTGCAATATTTAGCAACATCTAGTGTTGCACTTAAAAGTCATAAAATAGATAAAGTAAGTATAGAGAATCGTACAGAATTCTACAAAATCAAAGTCATCCTTCTTTATATCTGATCACAGGTGACAAAAAATATAATTTCCTTGGTAGCTAACTATTATAATATATATTTTTTATGTTTTTAAACATTCGTTTTTAAATTTTTTAAATAATTGTTTTTTAATTTGTAAATCTTTGTAAAAAAAAGTTTGTACAAAAATTAAACGAAAGAAAAAGTTTAACTTGTTTTATTAATCAGTTTAAAAACGTTCAAGCGCAAACGGCCATCTACCGATTTTAGACCGAAATCTACCGATTAATTTCTTGATATCATAGAAATAATACTATTATTTCTATGCTTGACGTCAGTTGGACCGACTGAGTCGGTGTGAGGGTGGCAGCACTGGTTAATGCCAACGATACGTAAACATTACTATTACTATTCTTTCAACAGTCAAACGGTTTGACTCAAACCCCGTTACAAGGTAAATAAACCTAAAACGATGAATAAAAGGTTCCTAAACTTAATCTAATAACGCCAACGATACACTGAGAGAAAAAATGTTGTAGAATCATTCAAAACGATAATAATTCAAAGGGATTCAAATATGTTTTGGCGTCATTGGTGTGTCCCATTAAACTAATAGGTGTATAACAATTGTATAATACATATCTTTTTGAAACAACGTTGAGAAAGGTAATGAAATAAATAGATTTCTTTTTGTATATATATTTTAAAGAGGGTAAACATAAAAAGTGTTTAAAAACATTGTAAAACTGTTGGTAAATGAATATAAAACTACAAATTTTTCTATTTGAATCAAATTTACCCGATTATTTAAATTAATATAATTTCATATGCTTTTCATGACATGATATTTCTCTGAGTGTACTTGTGGAGTGCATAGAACAAACCAGTGTGGAGTGTCACTGTTTACTCAGCCACAAACGCATAATCAGTGAAATAACACCTAAAGGGTTGAACTGGCAGTGTTTTACGGTTAATTACGGTCTAGTAACAGTTGCTTAAACAAAATTCCCATACTACATTTACCTAGGTTGGTAATCTAGATCAAGAGTTATAAGTCTTATTATAATAACACAATATTTTTTTGTATAAAAATATAAAAGTTACTCCAAAATTACGCTTTTTTATTAAATTATACCGGCGTCATAAAATAACTTTTATTAATAAGTTTGTTTTTACTTGTTTTTAGAAAACACACAAAAATTTGTACTCAAAATTTTGAAACACGCTGTATTTTAAACATAATTATGTGAGGTAACCGATTTAAGTTAAATTACAGATTAGATTGAGACCCTTCATGTGTTTCTATAATTTAAATGAATTAATTTTTTTATTTTGTTTTTTTCATTTTTTATTTTTAAACATATTTACTTTTTTATTATTCTATGGTGAAACCTACGTAGGCAGAGCTAATTAAAATTATCTTTTTAAAAACTTACCGACTGGTTTTTCTACCTCTTGTCCATCTGCACAGAAGCATTCGCTTTTGGAGTGACCTGCAATAGCGTTTCCTGTCATTTTTGGCGTTTTCTTACACAAACAATTCAAACAAACAATAAGTATCAACACATGAGCTAGTTCATGCACACCGGCTGTTTATATACACACTATAAGATAAGTTTACGTTTTTAAGTAAAGCGCGCAGTCGCAGCTCACCAAGTAGGTTTGATGCAGGACCAGCATGTGTGCTCGCAGAAAGTTTTATCTCTTTTTTATAGCGTATGTCATACACTAAATCTATCAACTTAGGTAAACTTTAATTGCGTTCGTATAATTATAATTAATTCATCAAGATAAAAATCTTGTATTGTGAGTGATGCAAATTTGCTTAAAAACATTAAACATTTAAATTAATAAAATATTTTTGGATTAAAAATGTAAAAGATTTTTAAAATCTACATATACAGTACCTATGTCCCCAGATATCTCAATATTGACGTTACAAAAGGACAAATTTTTATTTTAGTTTTCGAAAGAAAGTCGTACTTGATAAAAACACTTGCTTCTTTAAAAAATATTCCGATAAAAAAACATTTCATCTACAGGGCGTTCAAAAATTAGGAAAACGTGAAATTTATTCAAAAAAGAAGTAACTTTATATTCAATTTTCTTAAAAAGTTAGATAGGAAATAGTTATTTCTTTTACAAGTGTTGAAAAGCGATTTTTTCATGCAAGTTGCTCACGAGGCCCTCAGGCTGAGTGTGCATTAACACGAGCTTAAAGAAAGCACAAGTGAAACACAATGTTTTTTCTACGACCCTTTTATTTTTTATTATATTCAAATACAAAACAGAATAACCTAAAAACGTGTTTGACAGCTGTTAAAATTCTTTTATCTTATTCTTTTAATTTTTAAGGTATAACTTAAAATCAATAAACTTACCTTCTCAATTTAAATAAAGGCACTAAAAACTAGAATTTATTATACAAATACAATTAATTGCGTTCTAAATGATATTTAGACATACATATATAAATACAATACAAATTTTGAAACGAATGTCAAACGATGCTGTCAATTTCTTTTCACACAGACCTGTCACTTTTCACACAGAAACGTCACTTTACATTCGGGATTTGCCTTGCCAATGAAATAAACTTACCTTCTCAATTTAAATAAAGGCACTAAAAACTAGAATTTATTATACAAATACAATTAATTGCGTTCTAAATGATATTTAGACATACATATATAAATACAATACAAATTTTGAAACGAATGTCAAACGATGCTGTCAATTTCTTTTCACACAGACCTGTCACTTTTCACACAGAAACGTCACTTTACATTCGAGATTTGCCTTGCCAATGAAAAGATTCATTTTCTAAGCATTCTATGCCAATACGAAATGTGACTTTTACATAGTGGTCGTAGAAAAAAGTTGTTTGTAGTCTGAATACAAAAATTATGACGGAAATTATGAAGTCGATTTTTCTTTGGTTTTTCCAGGATAGGGTTTATTCATAGAAGATATGAGGTATTTTTATTTTTAATTTTGAGGAAAAGGCGTTCTTGATAAAATATTTTAATTGTCAAAAAACTACCATTCACGTATAGTCGCGGTCAAATCTGTATGGGTGCACGTCATCAATGCGATATAATGACGTCAGCATTACCAACTTTGGATTGTAAAGTTACTGCCGTTAAATTTGCTTTTTTAAGGCATAATTCTGATGTGTTATAAAAAAATATCAATCATTTGCGTATTGTTTACCAAGAACTGTAACAACACTTGGTAATTTTTGTGTGTGCCAGTTGCTAATAGCTTAAGACTGGTGCGCACCGTTCAAAATTATTGATGGGGCACCGTCATTTTATATTTGAAGTTATTTTTGTAATTTTGACATTTTGCCCGTAAGAATCGTTTGTTGTAGATTATTATAAATAAGTTTATACATTGTGTTTATCATATTCTACCACTGGATTGTGCAAACAATGTTACAAGTCTTGTTGGCAATGTCAACAGTTAAATTAGATTGCGAAGACATTGCGCCCTTAATAATAAATTTTTGAAAATAATTAGACTCAAAGTCTGACCTGGTTCTCTCTGACTACAAAGACGACTGGTAATTTAGTTATTTGTGTTTCTGGTAATTTAGTAGGTATTTTTTTTGTTATGTAATAAAAATTTAATTTACTCCGTTTGTTTTCTCTCTAAACACATTTAATCAATATTTGCCCGTAACGAACTCCTAATTACTTAGTGTCTTAATAAACAGACCCTACCGCTATAAACAGTGAACAATACACGAGCGTTGGATTGTGCCTGGGCACGTATAAATAGACCTTAACATTGACGTCATATGCTGATAACGTGCACCCATGCAGTAAAATTTGGGATTTTATATGTACAGGGTGTTTAAAAGTTAGGAAAAATCAAAGAAAAATCGACTTCATAATTTTATTCGTAACTTTTGTATTCAGACTTAATTTTTAATTATTAACAACTTTTTCCTATACAACTTTTCGAAAAAATGTAAAACAAAGGTATACCCAAAGTACCTATAGGTACTCTTGGATCGATTTCATGTTTTTCTATTTTTTGAACACACTGTAGATAAAATCTTGGGAATCTTATTTTATATCTCAGTTTTTATCAAGTACGACTTTCGTTCGAAAAAAATAAAATAAGAATGTTTTCCCTCTTGTAAGGTAAATCCGGGGACATACTGTATATACTAAATAAAATAATACATATTCCTAGATGTGGATGTGGATGGTAAATATCGTCGCCTTCAGGAGAAAATCACGTAACTCCACATTTTCATTAAAATGGTATTTTAGTGGCATCTATTAGATAAAACTGTAACTAATTTATATGCAAGTTACAGAAGTCCTAAAATAAACCGTTAATTTTAAATTTAGAAAAAGAAATATACGTATCTCCAATCGTGGAGGAGCGTCCAGGGAATAATGCCTAACTCCAGTATACAAATCAGTGCCATTGACAAGTATAAGTTATTGCCTAGTTATTTTTTCTGTAAAACCTTTGTTTTCCAAAGTGAAATTTGTTAAAAGTAAGTATGAAAGATTGTATAGTGTGTAAAGTTAAGGTACCATGAATAATTTAAGGTTACTTTTATTAACATAAAGTACATATTGGAGATACGTAATTTTCCATTAAACAATTTTTTGGCGGTAATGTGGAGATACACCAATACACCTTTAATATGTTTTTCTTTCCTCCTGTAAAATTTTACAACATGGAGTTAAGCAATTTTCTCCTGAAGGCGACGATATGTAGTTTAAGATAAGAAATGACTTAATATTATTTTTTACTATTCGTTTTTTATTATCCTTTTATATTTCGGTATACTTACCCTAATAAATTTGCCCTAATACTAGTGTTACCATATGTTTGTAATTCCGCATGGGTTACGCTAAGCAGCCACCTAACTTAAATTAAAATTTATATATGACTCATATAATATGAGTGGTAGGTACCTATATGATATATAATATACAGGGTGAGTCATTTAACTTGAAACTTTAAAATATCTCAGTTATTATCCATTTTACGAAAAAATGTTTAAAATAAAAATTAATTGATTATAGGGGGGAAATCAATCAGTACTAAAATTGGTCCTCATACTCTTTTCCTTATAGAGGGAACACTGGGAACTTTAAAATTTAAAATGGAACACCCTATTTTTTATTGCAGATTCGGATCATTCGACTAAAATAGGTAGATTTTGTCTAAAACATTTTCTCATATTTGTAATAGATGGCGTTTCAATTTTGCTCGATTTTTCTTCTTATACGATTCTGCAATATTTTTTCTATAAAAATATCACTTTTTTTGGTAATAATTATATCTAATTTTTTTAAGTACCCACCATTTTTTAACTAATATTTAAGTTTCCTTAAGTTTTATACATTATTTCATTCGGTGATAATTATCAATTGCGCACCATGGTCACTTTTTACCTGCCAGCATTAAATCCTTTAATTAAAAGGATTATTGTAATATTTTTAATAAAAATACCTCATTTAAGTTAAAAAAACATTATTTTGTCAATTAATTAATTTAATCCCAATTGAGGTATAAAAAAATGGTATTTAGTTATTATTATTTATTATTATTTATTAAATAATAATTATTATTGAGGTATAAAGAAACTATTTATAGTTTAGACAAAGATTAAATATACTCTTTCTTTCTTAGAAGGGGTATATTTAATCTTTGGTTTAGCAATATTTAATCAATTTAGTTCGAAGATTAATTTGCAAACAAAAATACCTCCTTTCGTTAAGCAGTTATTCATAATGGATTTTTAACAGTGGAAGAAAAAATAGAAATGATTTTGATTTATGGAGAAGCAGGCAGGAATCTTGATACTGCTGTTAATATCTACGCTCAGCGTTTTCCGGAAGAAAATCGATCACGTACAGTCAAGCAGTTTACTACAAACGGGAGTGTTCAACCGAAAAAAAGAGTTTGTCGAGCAACAGTCACAGGTGGAAATAATGAAATTAATGTATTTGCAGCAACGGCCGCTAATCCTCATGCAAGCACACGAGAATTATCTAGAGATTTGGGAATATCCCAGAGCAGTGTTAGCAGAATATTAAAACTAAATAAATACCATATTTTGATACATCAGGTGCTTCATGGTACGGATTTTCAAAATAGGGTAAGTGGGCACTGGAACAAATGCAACAAAATCAAAATATTTTCCGTTTTGTACTGTTCTCCGATGAGTCGTCTTTTACAAACCACGGAACAGTAAATCGGCACACTTCAATGGCGAAATGTACCGACATATTTTGGAAAATGAATTGCCCACGTTACTTAATAGACCAGTGCAGAAGCCTTTAAAAATGGTAAAAAGAGAAAAAAAATAACAGTAGGATGAAACCCATTGGAAAAGGAGGGGAATAGAATAAAAATTAAGGGAAAAATAAATTACGGGCGATCTGAGTTCGAGAAGTGGGAGGGGGGGGTTTTAAGGGTAAAAAATGGTTTATCTCGATTTCCGGCAAAACTACAAGTCCTATGGAAAAAAGTTAAATGTCAAAGTTGTAGGTAATAAAAAGATCTACAACTTTTGTATTTACAATTTTTTCACATAACCTCAAAATTTATGTGAAAAATTCAAAAAACCAAGTTTTTGGTTTTTTATTTTTCTTTTTCAAAAAACAAAAAATTTTCCGCGAAATTTGGTGAAAACTTACCATTCTATGTC